GCAGACTGAATTTATCATCACTTTATACGTAGACGTACACATTATGACATCACCGTTGGCGGCATTCTGTGATGGATCATTTACTGCCTACTACACAGTCAGTTAGCTCTACTTATATCGGCTTAGACTCCTAATTTGTCAGTATAGCAGACTACAGTGATTAGCACTAGCTGATAAGCTGGATTTGTTCACATAGAATTGAAAAACAAACCCAAAGGAATCACGTGTTTTACACAACTACTTCAAAGTTTTGAAAAAACATATATATTTCCTTAAACGAAATACTGTATATACTTGTATGTGGCGAAATGTTTGGTTGCCTTTTGGCTAACAGCAGCGACCTTCAGCCCGGACCGCAAGGTCGTTTGTGGGGAGATGAGAATGCAGCAGCCTGCAAACTGCTCCGCAAGGAGGTCGATCTGCCACCCAGCGCTATGGCAGTTATATAAAGTGGAAATTGGGTCAGTGTTATGACCCAGTTCCTTGCAAGGATAGCGGGTGGTGAGCTTGTAGGGAGCCCAACCCCCCGCAATTTGCAGTTTGATTAGTTTGAAATGGGCTTTTTGGCACCTTCGATAATTACAATTGGATGGGCTTCGTGACGCCGCTTATTGATTTTTAGTCGGGCCGTCAGCTTATATGTATATAGTATAGCCAACCTAGATAACTTTTGCCCCAGAGTACGGGTATGGGTATGGGTATGGGAATGGGTATCTATTGGATACACGGCACCATCCATGGCCTGGCTGCAGTCGTGAGCTTAGCCAAGGAGCCAAAAATAAAAATTCTCTTTGGCTCCGGGCCAAATGCAGTGCACATTGGATTCGCAAGGGTGTGGATTGGAGGGCGGTTCATTTGCAGGCGCAAATGAAAAGTGAAATGTTGCCATGCTGAAACCAAAAAAAATACAAAAAATAAAATAAAATAACATACGAGGGGAGAGAGGCAGAGCTGCAGGGACATTTATCTATATTTATTTGCCAGAATGCTGACACTTATTAGCTTTTCCCGTTGAATTAATTCAAAGAGTGCTCTATAAATATGGCTAAAGTGCAGTCCGATGACAAATTTATGGCAGACTGCATAACTCATCTATTACCCACTTTCGAGCCGTCTATTTCTTTTTGTGTTGCAACTGCAATGCACTGTGGTGTGTCATTTTGGCCTGCCACTTATTACATCACCCAGAGGCAAAGACGACACGATAGACACCCATTCTTGAGGCCTATAGCTTATGGCCTATAACGATGTGGGTCAACCTGAGCCTGCCTGCCTGCCTGCCTGCCAACAAATCCACACACACAAGCAATCGCGCTCTCACAGACACTCGGTTTTATCGATGTCTTTTCGGCCAAGTGGCAGTCCGTTTGTTGTTCCCTGCAAAACAGTTTAAACTTTGATGAATTCAGTCGTCAGTTATTCAGGAAAAGTTTCGCAAAGTAGCTGCATTATTTAGCTGTATCGAAGAAAGTTTGCAGTTCAGATTGCCAGACAAGTAGGCGAATAAGTTCGAAAAGCCAAATCTGCATACTTGCCATATATTTTAGATATATTATTCGTTCCATTCTCCCTTCACGCACATTGTATATCCATGTATACGTTTCGAAATTATTCTCAACTTTATGAATGTTTTGTGGGACCTTCCCCCATTTCCCTATTTTTTTGTTTTCCTATCATACGCACGCAGCGCCGATCTTATGATCTTTTTGGAAGGTATCACGCCTTTAACGCATGACTCGTTCGTTTTGTTCTTTTTAATTTTAGACGAACAAAATCGCCACAAAACCAAAGGCAAAAAGCGTATGCTTGAATAGCGTTCGTCATTAGTTAGCTGCTGCGTCAATTGAGGGGCTCTGTTATTTATACACATACATAAATGCCACTGGGCATTTCTGCAGCCACGTAAATGGTGACGGAAAGCGCGATAACTTGATGGAATTTCTTACTTTCAGCTAATCGCTGGCTGGCCAGCATTTCCATATCGTTCTGTTGCCAGCCGAGAATACTGACGAAAAGCGCCCAAAATCGGAAATCATTCACAGAAATGTGTATAAAATTTAGCCAGCCAGACAAGGTGCTGTCTTAGTTTTGGACTTGTCTGGCTGTTGTTGTTTTTCCGTCTGCAGATAAAGAATCGAATAGCAAACATTCCGCTTCTGTGATTACGTATACGCAGTGTTCGCCAAGCGATAGGTTTCACCCGCCTCCATTGCGGGTGCGCGCGTGCTTTGGCCTACGAAATTTCATGGATGTATCTGTATCTGAGTCAGTCGAGTGTGTATTTAGCAGATAATAAGTGCTGTGCGTGTTTTTCGTTTTGTGCGGCTGATCATGCGACCCAACGATTTGAAAGGCAGGGTAGCGCTCTGCGCGATACTCTTCTAATGGATGTGGCGGCTTTGACAGGCATTTTGCTGATAAATTTGTTTTTGTTTTATGTAAAAACTTTTATACATATTCAGCAGAGCGAAGGGAGTTCAGTTCTTTTTCTATGTCTTTTATCAAACGGGCATTCCACTTTCGAGCAAGAGCTTCAAATTCAAATTTCACGTTACTCGGCCAAGTCAAACAGTAATTTATTTAGGTAGCGTTAGTTTGGTAACACTTCGGGTCACTTCCGGTGACGACAACTTCTTGGAAACCCTGTTTTCTGGCACTGGCAGCTTTTATGACCCAGATAAAAGTAAACGTGTTGGCCAGCACGATGTTGCAAAGGGGGTGGGGCTTAGGAAGCGAGGAGGGCCAATGGTTCATGAAGTGCTAATGAAAAATGCTCAGCATTTGCCTAATGAAATTATAACTGAGCCACTAAGTGGGCCATAAAGAGGAGCGTTGAGACTAGGCCGTTTTGGTGAATGGGGAGAGAAGAAGGTGTTTTGGGGCATTTTAGAAATTTTTCATTCAACTGCCAGGTCGACCATGTAACCCATTTAACGCACATGGAAACGAGCGATTTGACTGGCACATGGAAGCACATTTGGTTTCTTTATTCAGTTAACGCTTTGTAAGCTCATGAGCTAGCTTTTCATTTATCAATACACACTTGCGCACACACAGCGGCACAAATGAACAATAATTTATTTAATTGCCCAAAGAGCTCTTGTTCTTTCGAAATTAGAACACACACACACACAGACACACTGCACTGCTGGCTGGCACGCGATTAAAAACTAAACGGTTACACACACACATTATGAACTTTACTAGCTAAAACTGTTTATTATCTGCCAGATATTTCAATCTATCTATATACGTGCCAGTGTATGCATATAGATGACACATCGCGTATACGCAGTGTGTGCTTGCAGTCGTGTTCGGTGGCGTTGTTTAATTGCGAAAATTCAGTTTTGCTCCTCAGTTGCGCTCCTCCACTCGAGATTTAATGGCTATGGATTTCGTTCTGCAATCATTGTTAGCATTGGTCTTGTGCCTTCCCTTCTGGCCTTTGTTTGCCTGCTGGGCCCAATGCCTGCTCAATGCTCAATGTTTTGGCCTCGTTTTTGGATTTATTTTTTCTGTTTTTGCGCCACACCTCCGAGAGCCAAGTAAAAAGCAGCCAAGCAAGTCGAAATTGAAGGCTGCATTGGCCAAACTGGCAAACTGGCAAACTGGCAAACTGCGCCTGATTTGCCAGAATTCAAACGAATCTCTGCTCCAGAAAGCATTGGGAATTGTGTTCTGTCTGCTCACAGAATTCGGGCAATGGATTATTTTCTGAGCAATCAGTTTATAATCGCCCCTCTTATCTTATCTGCCCCTTTTTGGAAAGCGGCCTGCCTGGCGTGTATTTCATTTCATTTCCGCCCAGCTTTTCAGCCTTTAGCTTGAATTAAGAGAGCATAAACACTCAGTTCGATTGACATTTTGTGACACACAAACGACTTGTATATAACCGATCGGCGATCGGCAGTCGACGATCCACAATCATCGATCCGCATCGACCCACTTTGTGACACACACCCTCTCGGAGTCCACAACATACATGTGTACTTGGCTGGATTGCTCCCATCCGCCGCTGGCGGTGGCTTATCACTATCAGCTGCGCACCTTGGCACCTGCGACTGCTTATCAGGTGTTTGGTGATCGGGTTCCCAGCTCATGGTTCATTGTACTCCAGTTTCCACCTCACTTTCGTTCTGCATGAGCCTTCTTTGTTTCTTTGGAGTTGCGCCTTCGTTTTCGGTTCTTTGTCACATCCAATCCCCAAGTAATAGCCAACCAGAAGATCGATAGACTGCCCCACAAAAATACAATAAAAAAAAACGAAACTTACGCCGCGCCGTGACGAACATTTTGGTTTTTGTTTCAGTTCAAAAGACCTAACGATAAAATGCATCCTTTGAAGGTTTTGGGCTGCGTGTCAGGAGTGCATTTGCACTGAAACTATCTGAAGCATGTAAATGCACTATCTGGTACGACATTCCAGAACGTACAATCTTCCCGAATGCAGGAAAATGCGATAAATGAAATATGCAATTTTTGTGATAGTGCGATTACCGATTCTCAAACTGATTTTTAAACTGAATAGAAATAAATAAGGTTACTTGTAAGCTACATACTTGTAAGACACTGTTTTAAATAAAGAATATAATAAAATATGGAATATCTTCTATGAAGAGTTTTGCTGTATATGTATGATGTGGTTTCATTCTATGTTTTTGCCAAGAGGGAATATTTTAAGGGCAGCCAACAATGAACCGTGGAAAAGCACTGAGTTGGGACCTTCGGGAGCAAGGTTTCCTAGCCACGACATCGCGGAGCTTGCGATGACCTTGAGCACTCCAACTCTAATTGGCGCAATTATCATGATTGCAGCTGTGCCACGGAGGCTTCTAATTTGGCTGGCGCACACTTATCTATTATTTATAATGGCCATTTCAGAAGGTGTCAGACTAGTGCAGACCCATAAAACCAGTTTGCAACCATAACAACTCCTACATAAGCCGCCCAAATTTGAAATTTATTTTGAAAACTAAAAGCTAACATTGCATATTTTACAGCGCCATGAATCTGACCACTCTTGCCACGCCCCCACCGCTGCCGCCCCCAAGAGCTTTCGACGACACGCAGCGTAGCATAAAAAGCAGCATACCGGGGCCATCCCCCCATCCCCACATTGGCCAGAAGGTGGCGCTCGATGCGCCAAAAAAGCTCCCCCAAAACTGAAGTTGCTCGCAAAACATCCGCAAGATGGTGAGGCTAAAGCGAATTCGGCTTTTGCACAAGATATTCAAACGTAACCGTTTCCACACAAGTATCTCAACCAAAAAGATGCCGAAAGAATTCAACAAATTAGTGAACTAACCAATCAAGTATTCTCAATTGGCTATGCGCTTTGGCAGTGTGGTTAGCTGGTTGTGTAGCCAATCATTGCTTGTGACAACTCACAGCCACTATCTTCACTGCCGCCGCGACAAGCTAAAGCAACGTACTCAGGACATGGCGGAGGAACTTGCTCAGAACCACAACGGATTGCCAGTAATCTGGAGCAGAACTGGAAGAGATTTCATATCATATCATTGTGGCAGCATCGTATCCATAATCTATTAAAAATATAAACTGTTCAAAATAAATAAAGATCCATATGCACGGCAGCTTGCATTGCTTTTAGTCGGAAAACTACAGTTTGACAACTGCTCAGCCAGACGCCCTAACTAATTTACAATTTGCAGCTTATAATGAATAAATTATAACGATACACCCGCATAATCACCATGCAAACGAAAAGGAGAGAAAACGTCTTTAGTTTTATGATTTGTTTTGTTTTATATATATAAATTTTAAATTAATAAAATTTACTTGCTATATTTCTATTCTTTATAAGTTCATCTTTATATAAATAATAAATTTAAATCGCACATTTTCTCATTATATTTATATTATTACGTTTCTTTTTATGCAGTTTTCATTTTGTTGGATTTTTGTTTTATTTAATTTGAATTACACAACATTATTTAGATTTATCTTTATCTTTATCGGTACCATTATCGTTATCTCCTTCTTCATTAATGTATGTTAAAATGTGTGGTTTGCCTTTCTTACATATTATTGACACTGTTCTTCCAAATGAGAGGAAAGAATTGTTCTGTTTTGCTCCTTGCTGTTTGTTCTTATATGGTTTTCATGGTGGCTTTACATCGTATTTATATTCCTTAGTTGGGTCTCCTATATGGTTCAATTGAAATGATTCGCATTTCTCGATGACTCTGCACGTTACTTGTTTTAAATAATTTAAGAGTATTTAATAGAGGACTAAGTTAGTATACGCTTTGTAGGTTTGGCGAAGTAAATTATATATTTATAAAACAAAATCAAATTCAATGTGTTTCCCTTCTGGTTTGTATGAGCGAGCGGGTGTGTGAGAGTTGATGTTCGTGTAATTTGTAATGGATTATGCGGATGAGTGTGGCGTGTGTGGTGTGGATGTGTTAATAATAGTAAATAAATACAACATTATACAAATAAGAGAGGATTTCCATGTTGTAACAAACAAAATAAACAATGAAACGCTGCAAAAGCTCACGACGAACACGTCCTTTGCAGACATTCACCTGCAATTTAAATGGTTCGCCGTGGCTTTTGGCTGGAGCCGCGTTCATTTACTTTGTTGAATTTTATAAGCAACTTCTAAATGCGCGTGGGCATTTACATTGGTAAACTAAAATATAATAATACAAAAATAATGGTAATATAGAAAAACCTGCTAGGCGATTAAGTTGTTGCATGCACGAATTATACACAAAAAACACAAGATAGACTCAATTAAAATTAATTTAACCAAAACAAAAATGCAATTATATTATTCTCGTTTTATTATAATATGCATATAACTAGAAACTTTTCAAGTTGACGCAAGGGGCACTTTAGAAGCGCCCATTTCGTCATGTTTTCTTTAGATTTTCTTTTCGAAAAACTACGCTAGTTGCCCGGATTAGAGTTAAAGTTTTAGTTTACATATTCAATGTTTCCCTTTCAATTCGTTCGTTTTGCTTGTTAATAATTGCCTTTGAGTTTCTTTTATACATAAATATAATTCATTTTGATTGTTATTGAAGCTTTTTTAGTTTCAATTCAAATTATAAGCCTAGGCATGAATTTTCTTTTTTTTCTTTCTCCTTTTGTGTATAATTCGAACTGTGTGTGGTTGTGTGTGTATGTGTGTGAGTGTATCCTTGTGTGTGTGTGTGGTTAGTGTATGCTTTTACATTTCTTACATATTTCATGTATTTAATTTTTCGTTTCCTTTCTTTTAGTTACTCATATAGGTTATCAAACAATTGGTTAGTGACTCTTGTTGTTGACTGATGTTGTTGTTCTAGTGTCTAATGTTGTTCGGATGTTTTGTTTGTTGTGTTGTTCTTGTGTTGTGGTTCTGTTTGTTGTTGTTTGTTGTGTTATGTGGCGGCTATATTCAAGGACATCAACATGAATATTAAACTGACCCCGCTGCGCATACACATTGTTACTCCGTTGAACGATGTGCAATTCGTGTTCATGTTGTTTTACCCATCTGTGAGCTGCTGCTCCTCCTACCGCTTTGGCCACTCGGCTTAGGACGTGCCATTGACCAGGCCCTCCTTTTTGACATTCTCCGTCAGCTGCGGCTGACCGGATGGCTGGTCGGTGTGGTTGTTGCTGCGATTCTTGTTGCGTCGCGGTTTCGGCTGCTGCTGCTGCTGCTGTGCCGCCTGCTGCTGCTGTTGCTGTTGTACCTGCGATGGCTGTTGCTGCTGTGTGCCCGCCTGCTGCTTATCGCCGTTGCGTGGGGCATCCTTCGGCTTGCTCGCACCGCCAGCGGCGTTCGCATTGCCGCTGTTCTGTTTGCTGGCATCTCCGGCATTTAGTGCCGCCTTGTTCACTGGCGCCGGCGGCTGCTGCTGCTGTTGCTGTTGCTGTTGTGGCTGCTGCGCCGACTGCGGTTTGTTGTTGTTGTTGGCAACCGCTCCGTTTGCTGCAGAAACAACAGGATGAGTTTACAGGTAAATTGGGGAGTAAGTTAACTCACTGTTACTGGGTCCATTGTTGTTCTTCTGCCTTCTGCGCCTCCGCGAGCTACCCTCGTACGATGAGTTACTGTCCGCTGCGGAGAAGAGGATAATGGTTAAGTTATCAGGCGTACACTAGCATACACGCTAAGATTACTGATGGCGATGGAAATGGAATTACTGTCGCAGCACCAACGATATTGAGCCAAAACACAATTAATCCGAAACAATAATTTAATTGTCTGTGAAAGTCTCTTCAAATTTGAATAAAATGAAAAAATGTATATTTTAGTATTCATTTTATTTTAAACAAAAGCGTAGACCTGTGTTTCTATTTACATATTATATCATTGGAAAATGAAAGCGAAAATAAGTTACGATTCAATTAAATAATAATAGAAGATGTGTGTAATATTTCACTTTTAAAAAGTTTATTATGGTATTTTACACAAAAAACTAAGTTGATTTCATTTGTTTTATTCAGAATCCTAAAAATATAGGAAAATTTTGACACAGTCCTTAATGTAATACTCTTTAATAGCTAATAAACTTGCTGTACAGATTCTCGTATTCTTGACCCCACATGATGTCCATTTGAGGGAGAGGGGATCGGATCGAGTATTCACATTGTATCTTGTGTGAGCGCGCGAAATAAATTGATTGAACTAATTGGTTAATTGGCATCATGAATCGCGTAACTCACCTCTCTCCACGCTGCTCATTTCACGGGTCTCCCGCACCTCTTCGGTGGTGTGGTTGTGGTGCTGATAGTCCCTGCCATTCTGCTGGTCGTTGCGTGGCGGCCGGCGGTTGACTCCGCCGCGCCTGTTGTTGCCGGGGCCACCACCGCCTCCGCGATAGCTGCCAGTGTTGTCGCCACTGCCGCGATCGTTGTAGCCACGCTGCTGGTCACGCTGATGATCGCCCCGCGAGTTGTAGTCATCCTCGTCGCGGCGGTTGATGCGGTACAAGCCACCACCACGTCCGCGTACACGACCGCGTTGGCCGCCACCACCGCCGCGAATGGAGCGCACCGACTCGATGTCGCTGCTGTAGCCGCGCTCAGAACGCCGCGTCACTGGGAAGCTCTGTGTGGAGCCCATGGAGGATTCCTGAATGGCGCGAAGCTGCTGATCAATCTCCATCTTCTCCTGGCGCAGCTGTTCCACTTCCTATTGCGGAGCAGGACACGAAACGGGCGGATTAGTTTAAACAGATTATCGCAAAAAGCTATGATTGAACTCACCTTCAGGTGCGACAGATGATACTCCAACAGCACTTTGGCATTCGCAATGCTCTCCACGGTGCCAATGAACACAAAGGGTACATGCGCCAGCTCACGTGGTATGTTCTGATCCTGTTCATCGTCGCCAGCGATCTGACCGATACAGATTAAAACTGGCCCTCGTTTGGCGCACAATACTCACAGCACTCACCTTGATTCGAAACACGCCACTCTTGTCCACAATCTCCTGGATGATGCGCCCATTCTTGCCGATCACCTTGCCCACCAGCTCCCTGGGCACCTGGAAGAACTCCTCGGCGTATTCGAGCATCGCGCGGGCACGCTGCACAGACTCCTCGGTCTCGCCGCTGATCTTGAATGTGCAGGACTTCTCCTCAAGCTCGATGTTGGTGACGCCGACCAGCGTGCGTGCCGCTTGAATATTCGAGCCATGCGAGCCGATGGCCAAGCCCATGAGATCGTCACGCACACGGAACTCCTCAACGTAGTTTCTGCAAAAGGGTAGTTACGGGAATTAACATTTGAAACGCTTTGTTGTTATATACTAACATAACATAATACTAACAAGGTATCCTATATCTATGTCGAACTTACCCACGGCTCATCAGTTTAGTCGTTTCGAGCTGACGGGCAGCTTCTTCAGTCCTTTTCAACAGCATAACCTTTAGGTAAGATTAGAGTTAAGACAAACGAAGCAGATGCCTTGCGTATGTGTACACACCTTCTGTGAGAGATTACGAAAATGCATATCCTTGAGCATGCTGGCACGCTTCTGAGTGTGCTCCCACTTGGAGATGACAATCAGGGCGTCCAGATCGCGACTGTAGTTGCAGATGCCGGCATCGATTGAGCGCTGAAACTCCTTGTGTATGCCATCCTTCTGGGCTCTATTATAAAGCAAAAACATGGTTTTACTATTGATTATGGAAAAGTATAGCAAATGCACTTACTCTTCGCGCAACTCCTCGGGCACGGGCAGCGTGAACTGGTAAAAGGACTTGGCTGTAATTGGCGGATTCGAGTTTTTGACGCGCAGACGGCCCAGTTCACAGATTTCGGTGTAGG